TAAATTATTTTTAAAATAATTCCATAAATTGGGGTAAAACAAATATATTCAAACTTTATGAGCGACAGTGTACATTATATTGTGTGTGTGTGTAAGTAAGTATGGCTGAGTGTGTTTGCAAGATATTTGTAAATGTTTTGTAATAAGTATGAATATACATATATCTCTTTTTTTGTTTTGCTTGTTATAGTATGTTTTTATTATATCTGTATATAATTGTATGTTAATGGGCCCCTTTTACAAGCTCTGCTTCTCAGGGGTCCATAGCCTGTCATCATGGTAAAATTGTACAAGTTCCAGTGTCATTGTACGTTGTTTTTAATGATTGGCTGAATAAATTGAAATTGAAATAAACTGCATTTCCATAATTTTATTAAACGAATTTATTTCACTGGCTGCCTGCCGTAGCAACAAACAACAAACTCCGTTTTGTTGACGATCAGCTATGCATTACGTCTTTCGTCTTCTTTGTTGTTAGGGCAGACAGCCAGTGGAACGGATTTGTTTAATACAATTATGAAAATACAAGCATTACTTTAAAGGAGTCACACCAAGAAGCAAAAGTGTATTGAATTGATGCAAAATTCATATCATTGTGAAGGGGAAGCCTTACTGATCAAATACAACAAATTTCCTCTTCAAAATATGTTTGGGGCCCGCAGAAATCAACTTTCAAATATGTTAGTTTTGAGATCCAGATCTACTGCCTTCAGCAGTCGTTCGTATGACGTCACTATAGTGACGTCACACCCTGGACACGGTTGTCTAGCTGCAGACTAATACACGCGCGACTCCGGTATGCGAGCGGTATGCGAGTATGCGAGCTGTTTGTCCAGGGTGTGACGTCACTATTCAGAGCTCGCTACGCTCGTGTGTTTGGCTTACGTTCGGGGGCGCTTGGGGGTCTAAGAAGGGTCTTGAAAAATTGCATTTTACGCCTTTCCATGATATCTATATGATTTCTCAGCAAATAATTCGTGTTTTTCAAGAGAAAATCTTTCCATCCATATGTAATTTGTTCTAATTATCAGTTGTTAGTAAAAAAAAAATTTTTTCCTGATTGAGGTGTCATATAAAAGGGCAGAAGTCTTCGAAATTCAGATACCGTTCGCCAAATGACTTTTTGGTACCCTTTCTTTAAATTGTTTTTAATCAGTCATGCGTGAAATATGCATTATATGAGTTGCATCAAAATGAAAGAGGATCTAAGCTTTACAACATATGTGTCATTTATTAATCATAATTGTGATTAAGTTATGATAGAAAATGGATAATTCTTGGTTTCGTTTCTCTGGGACGCACTGTATATTCATTCATGCACAGAGTGTTATAATTGGATGTATAAACTAGATGCGTCATGTATCCCCCCCCCCCCCCTCCTTTCCCGGCTGCTATCGACTCAAGCATTCATGCTTATGATAGTTGGCCTCTGCATTTATCTTGATTCTTTGACTTACCTCCATACTTTCAAGTTTTCAATTATATGTAAGCATTTTGGGGGGTATATTTCATTCGTTACTTTTTATGTAATTAAATTATATTACATGTTACTTGAATATTTTGTATTTGACTTTTCGATTAATGCAGAAACATCTGAAGAAAAAAAAATGTATCATGGTCTAAATTAACGTGTGCGTGTGTGTGTGTGAGTGGTGAATGTGATATATTTTTAGGAGTTGGGATGTTAGGTATGCGGTTAGATGTATGGGTGGGTGCTGTTCTGTGAATGGAGTATTTGTATAGTGTTCTATATGATGAGTAGATAAGTGTTGTGTTTGGTGTAATGGGAGTGTCTTGGGTGTGGTCTTGTGAGTGAGGATGATTGGCTGGAGTTCCAGTGTGCGCTTGTGAATCCGTGTAAGTTTTGTAAGGTGCGAGTGAACGTGAATGTTTACGGGGGGGGGGGTTAAGTAGTAGAAGGGGTGGAGGGATGTCGTGCTTATGGTGCATTGTCGTTTTTTATGAATAATGGTAATTAAGTTCAGTATGTGATTATTGACTATTAGACAAATTTAGTGATTTCATTCCATTATTCTCCTTCTTTGCTCACTGTTTTGTGAATAATTTATTAATATTATGAAAACGAAATGGAGATCTGTATTTGTATGGAATTATTTACATTTATTTTTATGAAATGATTTATTTTAATTGAAATCTCATAATAAAAAAATTGAAGAAAAAAAAAAGTGTGTGTAATTTTTGTACATGTAGTTATATCGTTATGTTTTTTTTTTATCGGTAGGTGGGACGCGGCCTTTGTTAGGCCTAAACAATGTTGTTGTATTGCCCTTTAAGTTACATAACAAGGGTCGGTCGGTCTGAAATGTTTGTTATCCCTTCTTTTTCTTAACTTTTTTTTCTCCCTCTTTGGGCTGATATTTTTCAGTTTTTTATTGCAGTAAACTTCCGAGGGCTCTACCCCCTAGCCCCCACTAATTAAGGGCCCTAAGACGGGCACCTGAATGCTCATCTGTCCATAATTAAATGCCTTAAACCCTTGAGCTTCATGGGGCTCAGCCCCCTGGATCCACGCCAATTATTGAACCGCCATTGTCAAAAATACGGTATCTAATTATGCTTATATGACTGTAATTTAATGCCAAAAACCCCTGAGCTCCCAAAGCCCCTGGACCCGCGCCAATTAATGCTCCACTCGCTTCGCTACCTGATCGTTAATACTCCACTTTGAATAAAACGTTTCGCGGGGCCTGCTTGTAACATGAGTGGTGGTGTTGCAGATTTTTCTTATTGCTCATTACGCCACTGCCCCTGAAAGGTGAGCCGCCTGGAATATCCCCCCCCCCCCCAAAAAAAAGGCCTTAAACTGCTTCCGGCAAGCCTGGGTGTCGCCGTGGTCTAGTGTATACGTCACCGGACTGAGGATTACATAGTTGGCGGTTCGAGTCTGGATGCGGCACTAATGTCCCTTGACAAAACATTCATCTACATTTGCAACACTCGACGAAGGTGAGGAAAATGGGTACCTGGCAGGAATTCCTTGAAATGCTTCATCATAATGGCAGCCGTACTAAGCCGGGGCAGTATTGTGGAGCCTCAGGAGTGTCAAGTCTGACATACATGAGCGCTACACAAGAACCCACTAGTAGTAGTTGGTTGCTCCCAGATACCCGCCCCCCCCCCCCCCCAAAAAAAAAAAATAATAATAATAATAATAATAATAATAATAATAATAATAATAATAATAATAATAATAAATAAATAAATAAATAAATAAATAAATAAATAATAATAATAATAATAATAATAATAATAATAATAATAATAATAATAAAAAAATTATAAAAAAAATAATTTAAAAAAATAATAATAATAATAATAATAGTAATAAATAAATAAATATTTCTGGATTTTCCATATATAAGATAGTATCACGTTGGTGAATTTCGAACAATGTAACTGTAGAAATTGCTCTATTATGTAAAACTCTGCATCCACGACGTAACAGATAATCCCAACCTCTATTGTCTTCACTAATAGTTATACATAATTTCCAATGCCAATCAAATAAAGTCATGGCATGGCTACGCCATATTATAGTCTACTTTAAAAACATGAGCTAACTCTTTCCTGTATCTTCAATACTAAAAAGACGGAAGTACAAAAATCCTCTCCTTCCGACTTGTATCAATATTACCTAACTGACAGTACTAATATGAAAATGAAAGGCCGGAATATCTTTCACCTCGACTGAATACAACGGTGTTAGAAGCGTAAACCAACAAACTTTGATATTACTTTGTCAATTCAATTCAATTTCAACATATTGACTTTTCAATTCCTACAAAAATACCAATTTATTTAATATAAATATGTATTCATGTTTATTTATAAGACCTCTGTTTTATTACTAACATTATATTTCGAGTAAATAAAACTGATATATAAGATGAAATATGACCTCTTTTTTAAATCGAAACTGAACTTTTTAGCTGGTCTTTTGTAAGCATACCCTTTTTTCTTGTCGATTACAGTTCAAATTTAGAATAGGCTAAGAAGAACCATAAAATCCTCACCTTATTTGTCATATTTGCGAAGAATATTGCAGGTTTTGAAATACAGATTTCGCTGACAAGTTTGAAATAGAACCTGACACTGAGAAAATCTTTAAAACCTTTACAAACATTGGTCATTAAAAATGTCATAAGCCATAGACCTTACATAAACATTAAAAAACACAAGCAAAAGCATACTGAAAGAAACTCAGTAGTAAACAATAACAAAATTACATCAGCTATTAGAGGGTTTGTACATGTATGTACCATGATATCTGCTTGTCATGATGCACTATTTTACATCCCGCGGACTACAATATGAATATGATAATCAAAGGTGTCTGAAGTACCTGTAAACATGAGCGTTAGTAGTAGACAACAATTGTTAATATCTTACTCCTAGGATGGTGTTGATGTCTTACCCATTTGATTTCATTCCATTCATTTATTAATTAATTATTTATCTGTTTACCAATTTCTTATTTTCATTATATTTTTGTTAATATTATTATTAGTAGTAATTTAATATGTTGTAGAATTATTGTTATTATTATTATTATTACTACTAGCTACTACTACGATCATTATTTTAGTTACTATTAATATTATTATTATCATCATTATTACTGTTATTATTATTGTAAGTATTGTTTTTGTTATTGCTTTTGCTATCATTCATCAACATCGGCGTTATCATTATGATTATTTTCTTCCAATGTGCATTCAGGAAAACAAACAGAAAACAAATAATTAAACTCAGAAGTTATTCTTTTGCTCACAAGTAGGCTCTCCGTCTTTCAAATACATCAATTAAATTATTATATAGAAACATGAACATGGAAGGAAACGGTTACTTTTATCCTAAAATAAGAGTAAGGGTGATATAGCAAACTGAAAGAGGAAAGTCGGTGTCAACAAGCCCAGGAAACAAAACGGAAGGTTCAAGTTTGTTTTAGGTCATTGCAGCGCGAGACACGGCAACGATCATTTCTCTTTCTGTCTATGTACACACATTTTGAAATTCAATCATAAATGAATAGCTTCTGACATCAACTCGCATCCATTTTTTGATTTAAAATGAAGTTCAGCTCCGAGAAAACATTGTTCGTTACTATCATCATTGCAGCCATCGTGTCTTTACAAGGGGGTAAGAATATACTTTTTTACTATTATATAATTCTGTTCTGTTTTTTTGTGTGCGCTTTACTTATTACTTGTGAAATATTATTCAAGAACGACTGAATATTTACAGGTTACTTGTAAAGGACAGACCGAATACCATGTTACAAACTTTAAAGTATTCACTGCTACGCGCATATGTTTGTCTAAATTCTTAGTTTAATTGACCTTTATTCATCTTGGGAACCGGGGGTGCTGGGGACGCTGCAGCACCTCCCCCCCCCCCCCCCCTTTATTTTTTTGTTTCAGGAGTGGACTTATCCCCTGCATTAGATGGTGCTGGGGTGAAAGGGCACCCAGAAATGTAAATCCACCCTTCAGCGCCCTGTTAAAAAGGGGAAATCACTTCCAGTTCATCCTACTTTGGGGTGCTGTTTAATAACTATATGTGCTGTTTCAACATCCTGCTGCGTCAGGTATTACATGCAGCCGCCTTATGATTTCGAAACTTTCACTATCATATCATTATACAGTAACAAGTCAGTCAGAATGGCACCGACTGGATGACGCAGTCTATCTAGTGGACAGCATCACCCGATTAGACTACGATCAGGCGCAGGCTCTCTGTCAAGGTTATGGAGCGAATCTAGCAAGGGTTGACTCAGACGAGATCCAGGTATACAAACGATTCAAAACGATTTCTGACGTAGCAACATATGAGGGTGATACACTGGCGTACCTATGGGGGGGGCAGTGGGGGCAGAGTGCCCCCCTGACGGGCTCCAGGGGAAAAAAGAAAAAGGGGAAAGAAAAGAAAAGAAAGGAAAGGAAAGAAAAAGAAAAAAGGAAAAGGGAAGAAAAAAAGGAAAGAAAGAGAAAAAAGGAAAAAAAAAGGAAAAGGAAAGAAAAAAGGAAGCAGAAGAGAAAAGGAAGAAAAAGGGAAAAGAAAAGGAAAGGAAAAAAAATGGGGAAATTAAAAAAAAATAGACCATGGCCGTACGCACCACGGGGGGGGGGGGGTGGGGAGGTAGTTGACCCCAGATATTTTGAAAACGTACAGTTTTTTTTCCTGAAAATGTAGTTTAGGCCTATACCAAATCCTTCAATTCTACTTTTGAAAATGCAAAAGTACCCTCATGACTAGTTCGGTCGCTCGAACTCCCTTCACTCCTTTTGCTTTTGAGATTCTTCGAAAACTTTTAACGCATTTTCCCCCTCCCCCACCAGAAAAATATTCCGCATACGGCCCTGAAAAATTAAGACAAATGAAAATAGGAAAATATAAGTGATATAACAAATTCGAAACTGCTTGCTAGCCTATTTTTTATTAAATGTTTTCACTTGCTCGTCCCCCTGCAAAAAAGAAAAGGATTAGCATTGCCTAGAATACAATTGTGCCTGCCCCGACGGGCCCCGACCTGCAACCATGGCAACAATAACACACAATGTATGTACCAAATGTTACTAAAAGAGACTAATTCATTTTTCTCGCTCGCTACACTCGCTCGCGAATAAAATGAATAGACATTGCTTTGGAAACAATTGTGCCCACCCTTGACCTGCAACAATATAATAAAAAATGGAAGAGTTTTTTCGCCCTCTCGCCAAAAAGGAATTGAATCGCGTTGAACGCGATTGCGTCCATCCTGACCTACACCAATAAAAACAAGTTTATTTATTAATTTCTATTAAAAGATAATTTTTTTTTTTGCTTGCTCGCTATGCTCGCTCGCCAAAATGGAATTGACACCGCTAACGTGCCCGCCCCAACCTGCAACAACCAGTTAATAATTATGTACCAAACGTTATTCAAAGAAGTTTTGGTGTGCTCGTGCTCGCCAAAACGGAATTAACATCACCTTAGACATGATTGTGTAAGCCCTGCCCTGCAACAAAAAAATCTGAAATTTATGAACCAACTATCATTACAAAAATTTTGCTCGCTCGCTACGCTCGCTCGCCAAAATAGAAACAACACCGCTTTTAATAATCACGTCCCTGACATGGAACAATGAACCCACGTTTTATGTACCATATTTTCCCTATAAAAGAGAAGTTATTTTTTCGCTAGCTCGTGGAATTATGTGCCCACCAAAAACCTGCTACAATATCATTAAAAAGAGAAATGTAGGGGGTTGCCTGCCCGCCAAAATGGGATTGACATTGCCTTAAACACGAGTGTGCCCGCCCCCGACCTGCAACAATGAAACAAATTTTATATAGCAATTCATTGAGAGAAAGATGTATTTTTGCTCGCTAGCTAAAATGGGTATAAAATTAGCCTAAACACAATATTGTTCCCGCGCCCTGCATGGGACAATTGAACCAAGTTTACTCTCTTAATTTCTAGGACTTATTTTAAATCCAAGTCCCCCTTGGTTTTGTTTTGGAATAAATTCTTTGGACTTTAAAATAAGTCCTAGAAATTAAGAGAGTTAAGTGGCAATTATTAAAAAAGAAGTGATTTTTTTTTCTTGCTCGCTACGCTCGTTTGCAAAAAAATTAAATTGACGTCGCTATCACTCGCTAACAAGTGAATGTTCCCACCCCAACTTGCAACAATACCAGTTTATATACCAAACGTTACTTAAAGATTTTTTTTTGCTCGCTCGCTGAAAATTAGCATCGCCTTTTTTGTTTGTTTCGGTCGCTTGCCCCCCCCCCCCCCCCTGACGGAGTACCCCAGGTACGCCGCTGGGGTGATACGTTTAGTAAAAAGAATGAATGCAAAATGAACGGCGCTGTGATAGTAATTGCCTTGTTCCAGGCGCATGCGATAATATCTATTACACATGAGGATTGCGCATTACCTACGCTAAGAGAGCATACGAAGGCAGTTAGTGTAAGGGTAGACTTTTATTTTCCACCCAAATCAGCGGCTGAGATGAGTCTAGAGACCCGCGAGGCCTTTTGGATTCTGGTTTTTACTGCTCTGCATGAATTATTCATGACTTTGGATTTATCGACCAATTAGAATGGCCATCTCCCAGTTTATTTCGTTCGTGATTCGTTCATTTCAAAACATGTAAGAAATGGTAAAAGACGTAAGACTAGATTTGCTTATGAGATGAACATATATATAATTAATACAAAATATAACATCCAAATCTACTTTACATACAAAATTACAATAAAATAGGAAACATTTGATGACTTGAGCTAACAATTGTAAGTGAGATAATTGGACTTTCTCTTTATAGTAAATGAACCAGTCCAACTCGTTCCGTTCAATCTTATAGGTATTCGCACTACGTAGAGTTTACTGTGAACGTGATGGATAATATATGCCGACGTCACGCGATGCGTTCGCTGATGGGACGTTACCATTTCGGTAGAGAACTTCAGTCGGAAGCAAGGGTTAACAAAAGAAATCCAAACCAGATTACTAAAGGCCTCTTGGCTGAAGCCACTCGCTCTGGCGTTCACTTGGGTTATCGCGATTAGTCTCTTTTTAGTAGCTCGGCGTCTATCAGAAATGAAGCCTTGTGTAAAGGCTAGTGTAAGGGCGAGTAATATAATACAATCTGTGTACGATTTACTTCTTGAACGTCACTCGCACAGGAAAGGCCAAACCCTGAGCCAGTCACAGATACAGCTTTCAGTCAACAATGACGCCTCATGTCCAAGGGTTAATATTCATTTAATATTTTAAAAAAATGTCCGATTCCTAAAAAAAAAAAAAAAAAAAAAAAAAAAAATTGCACATTTCTACCATTTTACATTCGAGTGATGCCACGCATAGAAGATCTCGAGAATGTTTCACTTTTGTTAAATAGTTTCTATTCAATATCATGTTACGATCAGGCCATACAACTTTTCTTGGTGATTATTTTGGTTTTAGGAATGGGAAGTGAGTCGTATGTTTTGTATTTTTCAATATCAATGCAGGCTTTCTTGACGAGTTTCATCACTCCGCCTTTAAGAGATACGCGGTGCTTTTGGATTGGTTGCAATGACAGAGAGGTCGAAGGTCAATTCAGATGGCTTGACGGCACACCAGTGATGTAAGTACTATAATCACGATATCGACAATAAAATAAGTGCATTTCTTTGATTAATCTTGTAGGACTAAATTCATGTCATTTGACCGTTATCAGTAATTTGGCTTTTGATATCCATATGAGGCGATGAAGTTTGTCAGAATTTATGAGCAATCCACGTTTCTAGATTTAGCTCAATTAAGATACCTGCGAACACAAAACGTTCTAAAGACGTTCACAAAACTTTCCAATGTCGTTATAACGGTTATGATCCGGTGGTTATTTTTTGTCACATAACCGATCATTTACCCGGCAGTTGTCTTTTAGGAGTAAATAGTCTGCAATACCATTAATAGTATTTTCTCACATTCAAGCCTGGGTATTTCATTGTTATTGCAATTGTCATGCCTTTGATTTATTTTGGTTTTATATTAGATATGATGGTTGGGCCCAAGGTCAACCAGATAATGGTGGTGGAGGTCAAGATTGTGCTTGCCTCTGGTCGAGCAGAAATAATGACATACATGGACAATGGGACGATGACGGCTGTACAGTAGACAGAAACTTGATTTGCCAGAAAGGAATTTGTGAGTCAAATTACATTTATCAATTGGCTTATGTGTCTTCAAATGTCACTCTAGTCTTATGTTCGTTGCACACAAGGCGTTATGAATTATGTCTGACGCAAGACTCCGTCAAAGAGTGAGGTGCGGTCTTTGATGTGAGGATAGCGCATAGGGTACAAAGAAACGCAACGAAATGAACAGAGCAGCATGACACACGGGGCAAAACCTAATTTACTGACTTGGATTAGCGCAGGTAACCGACGCAATTAAAATTACGTTTCGTCTGCAATGGACATTTCAATTGAAATCATTTCAACCTCAAATTTATGTAGTTAAAAACATTTGATCATTTATTGTGAGTAAGTTGCTAGATTTTGTTTTTTATCCTTTTTTTCTCGTATCTCATATACAGATAATTTCCGACTGACGATCCCTCGAACAAATCCCGGTTTTATTAATGTCTACTGCGCCGTCGACGTCGAAATCGAAGGAGAAACACTGTCTCCAGATGACGTCAAGCTATCCATCGGTCAAACTCTTTCGTCATCGAGACCGATTTCCCACTCATCGACGAGCCTTGATGGTGAATTCCGTAATAATAGTTTCCTCCTTTACAACGTGACCGAAGGTGACCAAATCTTCTGCTACGCTGGTGAACTTCCGGACAAAAATAGATCCTTTTCACTGGCTACTTTTTCTGCTGTCTTTGATGTTTACGGTAACATTAAGTTCAAACCAGAACTCATCATATTTAAGCTGATTCTACGCGACATTGTATATGAGCTGCATTTGCTTCTTTCTTTCCTTTTTTTCTGAATAGTAGTACTAGTCCCGGTGGGGTCACTCTATGTGACTTCCGGACCGCATGACCGTTACCAAAATCGCGGAAAAAGGGGTCAATTTCAAGCAATGTCCGCGGACAAAATATTCCTCGGAATAAAGAAAATAGGGGGGCACAGGTGTCCCCGAAATTGATAAATAGGGGTCAGGGAAAGGGAAAAGAGAAAACCGGGAAGGGAAAAGAGAAAACCGGGAAGAAAAATTCTCGGAGCCGAGTCTTGTCCTTGAAATATGGTAAAATAGGGGTAAATTTGCGAAAGTGTCATTACAATCTTAGAAATAGGGGTATTCCAAAGTACGATTTTGTCCTTGTTTGGACGTAAAAAAGGGGGTTAAATTTCACAAAATGTCCTTGAAATTGACCGCAAGAGGGGGTTATATGCATTGGTGGTAACGGTCATACGTGTCACTCTTTGCAGGGGAGTGACCCCACCGGGGTACTAGTAAGTAGTAGTAGTCTAGATAGAAAGGAGGCAACGACCAAATGAGGCGGGCGGGACGAGATACTCGTAAGTTTTGTTAGGCTTAGTCTACTTGGCCTTAAATGTTAGTAAGCAAATAATTACCGTGGGTGAAGGTGATGGGACAGTCCCAAGTATCACTTAATTCCGAGGCGATCTAGATGTGCATGTAGTTATCTTTCCGAAGCTTTGCTTCGGAAAGATAGTCTAACGTATGTAGTTTACATTCAGATCGATGAGGAAGTGATACTGTCTTTTAACTGATAGTTTGCCATCGCCTGAAACCAAAAGGTGATTATTTACTTTATAATATATTCCACATCGGAAACATTTCACTGGTAGGGTCTACGAGAAAGATAATCTAACTGTTTTGTACCTAACTTGTTAGGCTAGTGTTACTGTTAGCTAGTTCTAACACTACTACTTACACCTACTACTGGTACTTCTAAAAGTAGTACTACTACTAGGTCTAGATTCTAACTGTTAGATTGTATTTTCTGTACGATGGCATGAAGCCCCCGAGGTTTGATCTACTTACCAACAATGCTATTCCAAATGACTTCTTCCTACATTTTAGAGCAACAAGTCATCAATTAACAGCTAGCAGTACTTACGTACGTGTAAACACGCAACGTATAAAATTCAATTTGTAATTCGCGCCACATCACCGCGGTGGACGTGGTCGCCTGCATGCGTTGAAGATAGTACACAGTGTTAAACGAACTTTTCTTCTCCCTTCATGTTTGAAATAGATGACGTGATTAACTTTTGACCAATCGTAGAGCAAGATTCTTAGTACGTTGAATTAGTAAATAACATGTATATGCATGGATATTATCCGAAATACATATTTAAGAATGCAACATATTTGGAACTTTATTAAGTCTATTTCAAATATGCCCTAAAAGGTTTCTAGGACGCCTATCACCTGGACATCCACACCGGATAACAAAACCCAGTCATCTTAACTATCCCCTAGGGCAACCACCCCCTATAGGCTCTTAGACGACCGTTACCCCCCCCCCCCCCCCCCTGACAACTATCCTAGGGGGTAGTTGTCTGGGGTAGTTGTCCTGGGGGTAGTCATTCTAGATGGTGGTTGCCCTAGGGGGTTGTCCTAGGGGGTAGTTGACTGGGGTGGTTATCCGTTGTGGATGTCGGCCAGGGGTGAGGTGTCCGGAAACGCCTAAAAGATGTGATAAAATATATATATATATATATATATATCTTTTTATTGTTTCACTTGTTAGTTTCTTCGCTGGTGTTTTTATCTTCTTCATAACAAATAGGTACCCCAAACATAGAATCAGCTATTAACTTGATAGCTTTATCATTTCCAGCTTTACCAGAGCTACCATCCGGCCCAACAGCTGGAGAGATCAGCTCATCATCAGTCACTGTCTTCTGGAGCTCTTGGATACCTTGCCTGGATCCTGGTGATGGACCTGTTGTTGGTTACCTTATCTATCAGCAAACCATGGAAGAGAAACAATGGACAATGGCTGGTAGAATCGACTCGGGTGTGGGAGTTGGCGATCTTCAACGAATAATGGAGTTTGTATTGACTGAGTTGGAACCAGGAACAGAATACAATATCAGTGTGTCTGCCGTCAGAGAAGGTCCCGGCGGAGAAGGACTACGAAGTCCACTTGTGACTGTTACGACTCCTAACCTCCGTGAGTGGTGATTAGACCAATCGATGATGATTTCGTATACGGATGTAAACAGAAACATCCAACCATCAGTTAATCACGCATTAGTCATAGCCTCAATAGTCCTATGTCTGTTTGTTGATTTGGCGGTCAATCCTGCGCTCAATTATTGATCTTATCCTGAATCTTACCCCCACTCAGTGTTATTTAGGGTACGCATAATATGCATGTTCCCTCCTTTTGAAAACACCCTCCTAAGTCTGGTGTGTAAAGTTAATACGGGCCGGATTTTTGTGTACTACGAGCCGGACTTTGGTGGGTGAAAAGCACCCCTTTACCGGACATTTTGGGAACACGCATGGTATCCATCCGTTCACGGAGTGGGGGGGGGGGCTCTTATCGCCCATACAACCGACCGACCCGAACTCCCTTGCGCTGAGCGAGGAGCCTGGAAAGGGAGGCGGGCTGATGGGATTTTAAAATTATGTTTTCGAGTTAAAATGCCGGATCCTTAACTGATTATTGACTACGATGTCGCATTGCTCCGACAGTTACCCTCGACCTTAAGACAATCATTGATTTGTCCTTGATCATTTTAAAGAACTTCTTAATGTGGCCCAAGCACTATGCGCAGCCTATGATTTTTGTCCAAGGGAACCAAAAGAACGAAGGGACAGTGATATCAAAATATCAAATGTCTCTATAACAATATTTGTTGCAGCAATAGGTCTATTCTGCAATTAGCAATAGACTGATGAATCTTGGCGATTTACGCTTATCATTTCAATGTTGCAGAGAGTCAACGCCTGAGGAAGTCTAGTGCTGCTTGGATGGTTTTATTCGTGATATCATTCTTGGGGATCATCATACTTGCTATTGCCATAGTGATTTTATGGTAAGAATAAAAAAACATTTTAATTTCTAGCATAATAGTAATGCCCTTTTCGAAAACTTTTTAAAGGCAGGACGTGGATTTGCAATATCTACATTGTTTTGTAATTGTCTAATTCCTAACTATAACTGGTTTATACAACAGAGCTGTCTCCAATCCATTCCTCATGTAGCCTACAGTCTGCATTGCAAAAAGACATTTTTAGCTAAAAGAGTTACAAAAACCATGTCAGTCTCATCATGCTTATCATAAACATTATCTGCATATACACCTGTATCTTTACACTAATAGTATTTGATGATTTGCCGACTATATTGATGGTAATAATGATGATGATGGAGATGATGATGATGTTTGGGAAGATGGGGACGATGATGTTTGGGAAGATGGAGATGAAGATGATGAAGAAGATGATGATGATGATGATGATGATGATGATGATGACGTTTGGGTAGATGGAGATGAAGATAATGATGATGGGGAATTAGAGATGATGACAATAGTGATTATCCACTATTTCTGTCCGTTTTTTCTAAATCGACCACCAGCAAGCGGAAGCAGAAGAAGGAAGACCTGTCTCGTTTACGTGCTGCCCCATCAGCAGGCGACCCAAAGAGCCCTCATTACGAGCTGCCTCAACCGAGTGTAGTCAGGCCACCTGCCTACCAGGGCCTCAAAAGAACGGGGATCAGCAACACCAAAGAAGAGGTTTACGCTGACATCATTGATCCAGAGAAACCGGAATACGTCAATATTCCATCTGGAGTACAAAAGTAATCACTTAGGACTGCGTCGACGACACCGTGGTATTTGACATGCAATGAAGTGACATCGTACGAGGAATGGATAAAAGTTGGTTTATTACTGGACTGCAAAAGGTCGCGACTTGTTGGAGACACATAATTTCGAGGAAGAACAAAAAAATCCGCGAATAAGCGACAATTTCAGTTGGAATATACCCTGAATTTTCGCCTGGATTCACATAAATGTCTTGCCAATTTGTTTATTAAACCAATTAGTCACAAAGTGTCGTAGTTCTGTCGCAATTTTGTCGCGCTCAATTGGGTTCGCGCCTTTCTCGAACACGGAATTTTCGAGAAGGGTTCTAGACGGGCTCGAGACTCCCGTTGACGACCCTTAGGCTACTTTGAGAGAATTTTTGTTCGCACGATTCTAATTTTAATGCTCAAAATTCCAGGGACACGAAAGCGAGGCACTTGCACAACTAACGCGAATATATTGAGAAGCCACGCGATTGTTTCCAGACGGTTAAGGGCCTATCTCACTGAGCAGCGAATGCTTGCGAACGTTGCGAATTTGGATTCGCCAACTTTTCTGACGAATGTTGGCGAAAATCAGCGACATTAAGTGACGTTTAGCGACAATTAGCAACATTTGAGCGAATGTCTCCGAAAGTGTTTGCGAAAGGCAGTTGGCGACTATTAGCGACTGTAAACAAATGTTAGCGACAACTTTTGCGAAGATTAGCAACTATTTGCCAATCCTTTGCCACTATTTGTGAACGTTTGAGACCTTTTGCTAACTACTGGTACTCAATGGGTCGATTTTATAAAGGAACCATATGGTAACGTGGTCGCTAGCTTTGGCGAAACACAGAGAACTGACGAAAACAAAGAGCAAAACCGTTTAACAACCGTTTGCAAAGGCTTACGACTGTTTTGCAAACGCTAACGACTGTTTTGCAAACGCCTGCAACTGTTTGCGGAAAAATAAATTCGCAAAGAAATTTTGAACATGTTCAAAATTTCTTTGCGACAAGAAAACTGTTTACAACAATGAAAACTGTTTGCGATCTTTCTTGCAACCTTTTACAACATTTTACAAACTCTGGCGAAACCCCAAATTCGCTACGTTCGCAAGCATTCGCCGCTCAGTGAGATAGGCCTATCTCACTGAGCGGCGAATGCTTGCAAACGGTTGTTAAACGGTTTTGCTCTTTGTTTTCGTCAGTTCTCTGTGTTTCGCCAAAGCTAGCGACCACGTTACCATATGGTTCCTTTATAAAATCGACCCATTGAGTACCAGTAGTTAGCAAAAGGTCTCAAACGTTCACAAATAGTGGCAAAGGATTGGCAAATAGTTGCTAATCTTCGCAAGAGTTGTCGCTAACAATTGTTTACAGTCGCTAATAGTCGCCAACTGCCTTTCGCAAACACTTTCGGAGACATTCGCTCAAATGTTGCTAATTGTCGCTAAACGTCACTTAATGTCGCTGATTTTCGCCAACATTCGTCAGAAAAGTTGGCGAATCCAAATTCGCAACGTTCGCAAGCATTCGCTGCTCAGTGAGATAGGCCCTTAAAGAAACTCCCTCGCGAATGCCGTTCGCAATTTGTCGCCAACTATCGCAGCCCAGTGAGATTGACGCTGAAGGTAATAATAGCAATTATATACCTCACTTTAGAAATCCACTATTGACCGGTTTGGGCATTTTACGTATATGCGTGCAATCTCAATGGGAAGGATTTTACATGATCGTGCTATCACCCCTCGGCACGCCTCGGGGCGATAGCACGATTATGTAACCTCTCCTTGAGCGTATAAAAACAACTATGTCTCTCATAGCAGTCATTATTACTATAATATTTCATTAATCTGCTAGCACATTCGCTAAATGCTTTCACAGGCTCCATCAGCTTAGAATACGAAGCGGATAGCTGCGGGGGGGGGGGGGGATGCCACTCTACCTTCCCGGGAGTTTATTTTTTTTAATTTAAAGTTTATTCAATTATCGACGTGATCTATTTGAGAGTGATTTAAAAAAAAAAATCTCATCTACACTAAATATTTGGGTAACCAGGTTGATTTTTGGTATACAATCAAATATCAAATTTATAAACGAGGACGTGTCAATGTTGTGCCAATGTAGGTATGGTAAAGGGAGGAACAGAAATGTAAAGCCTTTTGGTCTGCATGTCCCCACCTACCCCCTTGAATCTGGAAAATCCCGAATACCCCCCCCCCCTTAATCCCCTTCTCTCTCTCTCTCTCTCTCTCTCTCCTCAGTTGTCTTCCTCTTTACTTGTGTCTCTCCCTCCTTTCCTTCCCTCTTCGTATCTCCACTAAACCCCTCTCTTAAAGGTTTTACTCTATTGAAACCATGCAATGCACTATTCTATGTAAGCATTTGGTGTATGTATCATGCAATAGCATGTGACAATATGTAATACCTTGTATATATTATGACATTCGTACTATAATTCTCATACGTAGGTATAACTTTGTAATGATAGTGTTTTAAAAAGTTAATTAAACTAGTTTGGTAAATAATTGTGTTGCTTTTGCCTTCAAAAGAGGTCGTTTCAGCCCGTTCTGTTGCTCAAACATTATACCAATAGATTAATGAATACAAAAGTAAAATGTGTACATTGCCATCATCATCATCATCATCATCATCATCACCACCATCATTACCAACATCTTACATACATATGTATATATATATACCATCATTGCTAAGTAAAAACACCGATACCGAGACATTTAAATCCTCTGATAACAACATCTGATTAACATTTTATTTAGTAATCCATGTAATATTTTTGCAAATGGGCCTTATAATATGTTGACATCTACATTGTATTCGCAAGGGACGTCGATTGACCATGTTTTGAAAACGTGTACGGATTGTAGACAAAAATCCACAATCTTATTCATTTGCAGACTAAGGGTAAGAAAATCATTCCGCCGACAATAATTTTGAATACGAGTTGTCAACACAAGAAATAATAAGGAGTCTATGCATAACCCTCCTTCAAAATTGCATCTGTTCTACGGTTAGATAATATCAGTTCGGATATTCATACTAACACATTAAAATTAATTGTTGCTCAAGCGTCGAAAGTATAGTTAAAATTGATAAATACAAAGATGATCGTATACGTAAACAAAAAATTGTTATCACTAATTATATCGACATGAATAATCGATATCTCCACCTATATTTGAATTCAAATGTATACGTAAATCTAACTTAAGATAAATCTAATGAAATATTCTACTATTTCCAACAAACTCACTAATTCAGTTTCAAAAATCGTTGATTCACTCTAGAATCCAAATAAGGTAAACCTTGTACAGTAATGGCAAGAGTTACAATAAGAAAGAAAGAGGGGGCGATCT